CTCCTTTCGTGCGAGCGTTTTTCGTCCCAGAACTGTAGAATGGGTTGTTGGGTTGTTGGCGGAGTACTGATGATTCCAGTGATGAGATGTAACCACTATCTTCCATCGAGGTAGAGGCATCCATTGAAGCGTGCTTACGCTTCTGAGAACGCTTCCGGGAGCCCAGAAGCATATTATGGGCAGGAGGTGGCGTGTTACTTTCCGGCTTCACAAAACGAGGCATGGGAGGTGATGAGAGTATTGCCACCGGAAGAGGGGAGGGAAGGGAAGTTGGGTCAGCGCCGTCCGGTTCTTGAGCCTTGTCTCCGAGATCTTCGGCGCAGGCATTATCAGAAAGAGGGATGGTAGCATCTGATGAAAGCTCGGGGGCACTAATCGCCGGTGCTTGTGAAATAGCCTGGAGGTACGGGGCGGTTTGGGGTTGGGGAACAGCAGGCAGTGCCGGTAGCCCATCTTGAAGATAGGGTTGGTCGAAGTGGGAATAATCAACATGCGGTGCCATTGACATTATGTGCACATTTTCCGATACAACTGAGGCCTTCCTACTCGGTTTCTCCTTCATGAATTGTTGTTCCATGCCGGGCTCAATGGCCCAGTAATTCCCTTTCCCTGGATCATCCTTTGGTCGTTCTTGCTTGATGAAAGCCTTGTTGAGACTCAAATTGTGTCGAATGCTATTCTGCCAACCTGCATCATTTGCATTGTAGAAAGAATACGTATCGGAGATCCACTTGTAAATTTGAGAAAGAGTGAGCTTCCGATGAGGTGCGCGAAGGATTGCCATTCCGATCAACTGCGCATAGCTATGGCCTGGTTTCGCCCCGTCGTCGTAAATATGTGGGAAAGCAACCGGTTCCGGGAGGGATCCATTGTCGAGTCTGGCCCTTTTGGCTGGTCTTGACTCCATGATAGGAGCGGCCTCGAGAAGAGTGCGCTTGCCCGGTTGAGCAGGATAATACTCCTCAACATTAAGGTTGAATGCCGGTGGGGCAGGATACAACGTGGGATGCAGGTTTTCCTTGTCAACACCTACTTGCCTCGAATTGGCTGTCTTGAAGGTGGACATCAGAGGCTTCTTAGGCATGGAATCGGTGGCTTGCGCATGCAGCGAAGGCGGACATATATTTATCGTGTTCAGTTTGCGGTTCTGTGTGGAGCCCAAGGGAGCGGTTGAAGATTGGCCACCGGCCTTGTAGGGAGAATGGTGCTTTCTGTGACCATTAGGAGCGTTGAAGACTAAACTATTACTCGAGCTTTGCAAGGGGCGGCGTGGCGAAGACTGTCTCCCTACGGATGGCATAGGAGCTCGGCTTATCGATGATGCTTGTTTTCCGTAGTTTTCATCTTGGAATTCGTCTTGGAATATGTGTAGCGGTTCGTTTGAAGCCGCAAAACGCGTTGGTCTGGCCATCCTGGCCAACAAAAGGGATCTAGGGCTGCAAATGGTTGGCGCCTGATAGTCTGCTTATTTCAAAGTCAATGATGTGATGGCAGTTAAGGTGAGAGGATTAGTGTTTGTAGTCAGGGTCGCAATGCAGTTTCCAGCCGTGTATGACAGCAATTAGGTTGACGAAAGCAAGGGAGACTCACTGGGGTGAAGAAAACGGCTCTTAGATCAGCAGTGGAGACGTGAAGCCAGGGTGACCTTTTGGGCGCTGTGGATATCGCTAGAGTAGCTTCTTTCCAAGTAAGTCGGTGTAGCCAGATTCACAAACGCTGTGCGATGTGCAGAATAATACGAAGTCGTCGAGAATGAGAATAACTTTCCGATGAGAAGTAACACAAACAGACGTGCCGTAGGTGGTAATGGTGGACAGCAGGCAACCAGCATGAGAAACGGGGGAGACGAAAGGGAGGGGGAGCTGGATCGTCAAGATCTGGGGGAAGAAGCGTGACAGCCGGGTATGCAACTACGATTGCACGAGGGAGAGCGCTGAGGGGAGCACGGTACGTACAGGTTGAGCTGCTGAAGAGCAAGCAGAAGCAGGTTTAGGTTAAAGAGGTGAGTGGGTAATGGATGGGGATGCCCAGGCCTGCGCAGCACCACACGGTAGGACAGTAGGGTGAAAGCGTGAAAGCGTGAAGGGACGGAACACGGAAGGAATGGAACGAGGGAGACTGGCAGCTGGGTGCGCGAAATGGAAATACCGAGTAGGGCTTAGCTCGCCAACGCAGCAGTGGAGCCTCGGTGGAGCGCCGGTGGGACGCAGCGCTAGAGTGGAACAGGGTGGGGTCGTGTTCCCGGCAGAAGCAGCTGAGTACGAGCGAGGATTGGCCCAGAGCACCCTGGGCTGACACGATGATGGTAAGCAAGATAGAGAGGTGGACACTGGGCAGTAGTGCGCAAGGATCCGGCGAAAGTGGTGGAGCTGATTACGGTCGGCATAAACCATCAGTTGGATAGCGTCTCTGCGTCCTGTGGCCGACATTCAGCAGGTCAGACTTAGCTCGTATATTAGATGTTCCAGCAGAGCAAACCTGGGAATTGCACCTACTCTTTCATTCGGGCTTTCGATGTTTGTCAACCCCGGAGATAGGGAGGGAGACACCCAGCGGGTTTTTGCAGCAGGTACTCTCGGTAGCCGGAGAGAGACGAGCGAATGATATGATATGATACTTGAAAGCCGCAAATCGATAGAGCTAGGTAATGTCGATTGATTCACGGCGCGGCAAGACCAAACATCGAGGAGCCGAGAAGGTAGAAACGGTGGCCCAGGGAAATATCTACTGCAGCTGTTCGCGATTTCAATCGACGATTCTTGTTGGCCTCGAAAGCTGGCTGGGGCTATTCCATCCGTTCACTCCCGATGTTCGATGTTTGCTCGTTTCCCGTCCTTTTTGCTGAGCCCACGGCGGCACGGTGCTATCTTCACAGATGTACTGCTCGTGGTGCGATGCGACGACGTGCGACCGAAAGGATGCAGCTCGTACGAGGGTGCAGAGGCTGCCTGAGATTAATGAGGTGGATAGTAAGCGATTGGGTCAGGGAGGGTGGCGCGTAAAGTGACTCCAGATTGGTTGCACTGGGGAATTCGTGGAGGGGTGTCGTCTGGTTGGACGTGTCGTGTTGTTTTTAAATCCTGGCGACGCGTCAGCCCAATCAGAGCGCCATATATTGCTTCTTGGCCCCGCCTCTGCATGCACTTTGCGCATCCCCCGACTGCTAGCCCAATACGTCCTAGCAGAAACCCGTGATGTGCGACACTACGCAACCTTGGTTGCGCCTAGGCAGCTGTTACATGCCAAAGTGCGACTTGATGGCTGCCATTCACCCGCGGTCTGCCCGCAGCAAGGGATCGTGTCTTTCCCAATTCATTATAATGAGTCTCAGTCACGCACGCTACACCTTTCAGACCCCATCCTCCATCCCTTTCCCGTTACGTTGGTATAGTAGCATCAATAGTAGCTCCCGGGCGCCAATTATATAGATCGGTGGATAAGGACTAACGACCTAAATTCCACCGAAATCGAAATCGTGTTATCGTAACCGTCGTGCGATCGCCTTCATGAGGGCATTATAAAGCTTGCAGTACAGCAATGTACTTTGGCTTCCCATGTAAGCTAATATCTATTCTCTACGACAGATAAGCATTTAATATCGCCTATGTTCGATCAGCATAATGATCCCAGCAGACGCTACCATGTTAAGTGTACATACCTACCCGAAAACAATGCAGTGACATGGCTTGATATTTCACGGGCATAGCATCGCCTCTGACCACAACCACAAACTCAGGTACCGAAGACTGTAATCCGAAGGATTAGCAACACTTCTAACAATATTCTTGTGGCAGACATATTTTATGATGCGGCCATAAGGCCAAACCTTCTAGGGCCTCTCGAATGGCATACAACACCATGATTTGGTTCGACTGGCACCTAATCATAGTATCTCATACTAACAGTCAAATCCTTGGGTGGCGAAGCCATCAGTGACGACCTACTGAATTCATTGTGCCTAGTCCAATCATATCTCGCTGCTAGATAGACCAGCGTCAGAGCGGCGCCCTCATTTCCCCCCTCGAGGCGTTCTCAATGCGCAACGATTGCCAACTCATCATGACCCCGATTCTCACCGAATCGAAGGCTTGACCTTCATGGTCGAGACCCAGTCTTCGGCGAATCATGCCCCGAGTTTTCTCATTAGCTGGCCGGTTAGGCTGCGACCTCGTGGCCAAAGTGTCAGAGCGTAAGCGTTGATAGCATGGCCTACACTACTGGTAGTAGAGCCGCTATCCTAGGGCTTCCCAAGATCCGAGTTCCGAGTTGTATGGCCTCCATTTTATCATACGAAAATTGTCAGAGACAGAACTACTAAAGGCGTGTCGACAATCCCAAAGGAGGCCTACTAATCTATATCAGATTGCCACCAAGGGCGGTAACCATATATGCCAGGCAATGGCGAGATTGACTACACATATCTCGGCCATAACGAGCCATGCAAAAGGTCCAGGAACGCGTGCGTCCGCTAATCCCGCCTTCGTTATCCCAGCATTGCCAATACTTGAGTGCCCTAGTCACAATAATCCTAACACACAATGCATGGTTTGCATGGTTCGAACTCGAAGCTAAATAGGCCATATTCTATTCCGTAGTTTTAAGCTTAGGCGAAACTCCTAAACAAACCTGTTTCATAACCGTTAATAACCTGGCTCATAGAATACCATTGGAAACTAGCGCTTCGTTTTCTCATGTTCATGTGCTAGAGAAGAATAGAGCTCCTATAATGGCCTCCTCCAGGCATTATGTAAGCTATTAACTTAAGATGTAACTCGGTTGCTTAATTTCTTCTACAATAAAACCTAGATAACTGTTTAAGTAGGTAGTTACCTTAATCGGTAAGTATTTATTAATATTGTAAGTAAAAAAGAAAAAGCAATTAATACATATACTTAACATTATGTGTTGTGTTTTTTAAAAGACAGAAAATATATACAACTGCACGAGCAGCTCCTTCCAACAAGCAGCAGCGACGCGCCTTCCTTGGTGTATATGTAGCTGCCCGGTTAGCTCAATCGGTAGAGCGTGAGACTCTTAATCTCGAAGTTAGGAGTTAATCTCAAGGTTGCGGGTTCGACCCCCGCATCGGGCTCAATTCCCGATGCCTCCTAGTTCACTAGGAATGCAACGTTTATTTTTTGCTCTTTTTTATATTATTCTATATACATCTTAAATTTAACTAGTTGTATAGCTTTTATGTTTAATATTATTAAATTATATATTATGTTAATTATATTATTACTAGTTTATAATACTTTATAAATATAACATGTTATAAAATATATAAAATTTTGTTTATATTTTTTATATTATTGTTTTTATGTTAATTATATATAAGTTATAAATAATTTTATACTTAAGTTTTATTATAAAGTTTATAACAAAGCAAGCTAATAACTAGTATGATTGTTTACCTGAAACTTATTTATACTCATGCTAATAACATTTAACAGCGGTAAGTAAGATCACAGCCTGCGCAGCCGACATCTTTTCATCGTTTACTCTTTAAGTATTGTTGTGCCAGGCTTTATCTACCCCAGGCCGATTTGTACGCAAACTTAACAACTCCGTGCAATCGGCATGATAGCTTACGTACCTGGATGATAAAACTTTCCGTCCGCCCCCTTGACTCCAATCTTGGTACCTAATATTACAACGAGCCATGTAACGGCTCTTGACAGTCAGTGGCTACGATCCGGTCTCCTTCACCGACCATGGACTCGTGGCCCAATGACAAGGCGTGTGTGACCGCAAGAAAGACTCAAATAAATTGTTCATGGCGATCGGAAGATCCTGGATGGGCCTCAGCAAAGGTTAATCTAAGTTTGATAACTTGCTAGTTTACAAGCATTTGAGTTGCTATTCTTGATACTGGTTTTTCTGTGGTGGTATATTTTTAGCCCAGCCTTGCTGTTCACGAGGTAGAGATAAGCCTAGTATATTAGATTAGAGAGAGAGGTTGGTTGGAAGCGGACGTTATGATAGTTTCATGCGGAAGCACTAGACGGCCGGACCCGACGTTACCTGTCAAGATGGCTGTTTCGGGCCTTTAAGATACCGAACTAGGTAGGTGGGAATCAGGACGTCTTTGATTAGATGTATAACTGTCGGAAAAGTCTAAATATATCAGTTACGTATATTACTACTACCTGCCTCCAATCCACTTGGAGGTAGGTACGTAAGGCATCTATATGTAGACGGGCTGCTGCAATGGTGCAGCTCTTTGGTGAGGTGTATGGGTAGGTACCTAGGTTAGGTAGTTGCATAAATAAATTGACCCCAGGAGATCGGGGAAAGGATCTACAGCCAACCCCGCCATCCCCCCAACCTGGAACCAACTGACGACATCATTTCAGCTGCCCCTCTATCTACCTAATGTACACTACACTACTTACAAGCAGCGGTGAATTGTCCACTCCCTACCTAGGTAGGTAGTTACCTAAGTTCGACACCGACCTCGCCCACACCACGTCTTACGCTCATCAATCCGAGGCTTCATGCTACCTGCTATATAGACGGCTGGTTGGAGATTGATTACACCCCCGCAAGACCGACCACCAGGATGCCGCATTGGCGGGACGACTATCTGGCCTCGTTGCAAGAGGCGGAGCGCAACAACCCGGTGAACAAGGATCTGGTCGAAGCTTGTAAGCGCCGCCCTTGGTTTGTTTGGCCCGACGTACCAAGAAACCGATAGATAAGTCTTAATCTATTCCCAGACACGCAAAGCTGACAATGGTGCTCCCTCGCCCCCTCCAGGCTCCCAGCTCGCCGATCGAATCGCCGCGCTTGAGGCCGAAAAGGCGGCCTGGACCGCGGATTCATCTTCTACCAAGCCCTCGAAGACCCCTTCGTCGACTAGCGTGGTCGATCCCACGACCTCGTCGTCGGAGGGCGCGGTAGCGCAGCTCCGCCTCGATCTCGCCGAGGCCCTTCGCGGACGTGGCCAGGCACAGACACGTCTCAAGGCCGCTGAGGTCGAGCTCACGTCACTGCGAACTAAAAATAAGGTGGAGAGCAGACGTGTCGTTGATTTGACGACGGAGCGCAACGCGCTGACCGCTAGGGTGCGCGACCTAAACGAGGAGCTCGAGGAGAAGAGAAAGTTCTTGAAGGTACGTCGACTACTTAGGTGCCATCTACGTGTCACCCCGAGGCTATGTGATGTTTATTTCTCAGTATATGGCCGCACCAAGGGTCAAATTGATACATGAGAATCCCATGGAGGGGAGCTGGAAAGAGAGTAAAAGAAGAAGGCGCAGGGCTAATCTGGTTGTTCGAAACGCTCCCTCCCACTAACTGCCTACCCTTTCTCCAGGATATCCAGGATGATAATCTCACGCTGAACATGGAACTTAATATGACCATACAGAAGGCAGCCAAGGTGCAAGCTGAGAATAAGGAGCTTGTTGACCGTTGGATGAAGAGGATGGGTCACGAGGCCGATGCCTTGAATCTCCAGAACGAATCACCAAACAAGCATCATAGATGATGCGACGACATAAGCTAACTGAAAAGAGAAATCCCATCATTGTCATCATTGCCAGCCTGGTATCATATACATTTGCATCATCTATGTAGTAAGTGTCTAAAACGTTCCCTCGCTCCTAAGTTAAAAAAGCTGCCATACACAGGTTATGCAACCTACCCGTCAATTGACGGGCAAGCCAATTCCCTTCCGCACATGGTATAAATACAAGCCATTGTAACTAACTTCCGCTTCAAGAAAGGAGTAAACCACTATACAACACAGCCCGGCCGGAATTTATTTTCTAGTAGAAATGTAGTACTCGCCATCGGATCCAGCCCAGCTCACCCAACCTTCGTGGTATCGGAAATATTCGACGTCGAAGATGCTTGTGGCAACGTCATTGATTGCCGTTTTATTCTCGTACACGAAGGACTTGAGGGATATGATCTTGCAGCCCTTCTTCAAGTCCAGGAACATGTTGATAAGAGCATCGTTAAGGGTCGATGTGAAGGCCTTGTTGTTCACCAGTATAACATCTGCCTCCTTTATTTTCTCGAGGATCTTTGCGCTCTTACGGAAATCACCCCGTTCAAGATGAACCCTTCCCGGCGCGACCCCCCAAAGCATACACCGAGACCTGAATTCTTTTTCTTGAGCCTCGGCCAAGTTGCAGGCATTTTCCATCATCTCACAACCGTAGCTACGACACCCAATCTCGAGCGCGGCCTGAATAACGACATTGCCAACCCCAGACCCAAGATCGATGAAGACTTGGTCTGATGTCATTTTTGTCTGCTCTACCAGAATTCTGGTGACAAAAGGGTGCAGTAGCTCTCCATAAACATTATCGCTCCCGGCGTCGTACTTGGTCAGCATTTCAACTTTCGGGGCAACTGTGCGGTCGTAGACCTGGGTGAGGATCAGGGAGACGAGTTTAGACGGCAGGTGATGGATGCGGTCGAGATTCCTCGCGACAGTACCATTTTCTACCAACTCGAGAAGTTTTGTGTTGTAGCTCTCAAGGGCGGCTCGGAAGGCCGAGACATCTCGGTACTTCTCACTTATGGCACGCTCCATCTGCCTCCGGAGGCTCATGTTGTGGTCAATAAAAGCCTTCGAATCCGCGTCGGTAAGATATGTCTCAGCTACATTATCAATGATTGCGAGAATGTCTTTGACCGCATCGATCTTGTCCTTTTGCCATACAAGCTCGTACCTTGAATGTGAAGTTAGAACTATAGTCAAAACCTACTCTACGAGTGAATCTTACCTCTCCCGCGCGCAGCGTGAAGGGTACTGCACCTCAATCGCGATTTCGTTATCCTTGGCACCAGGAATTGGAGGGCACTTTGTTGCTCGCGAGACGAGATCGGCGGCATGGACGATATTAGGCTTCCTGACCCCATCGCCAAATGCCTTCTTGTGACGCAACTTGCGGTTCGCGTCGACCAGCCTACCATCACTCCGTCGCATGCGTTTTCGGAAAGGGTCGCCGTCGTCATCTTCTGACTCGGTATCGTTGCCAAAAACAGGGGAGTCGCGGGGGGTGCTTGTGACAGCCTTGCGCTTTCGGTCGATGCGCAGCTCGTCAGAGGAGGAGGGGTAGGGAGATGTGCTCTTTGGTCGCGTCGCGCGGGAGTTGGGGGACAGTCTCGTCGAGAGGGAGGCATGGGCGGAGGAAACGCGCACGCTACTGGGAGGGATCGGGCTCGGTCGGGGTTTGCTGGGCACGACAACCTTTTCCACGCGGACGGTGGGCGGTGCCGTCTTGAGCTTTGACTTCTGGCCAAAGAGCCCCATGGCTGCCGGCACAGGTCTCGGACTGCTACAAAGCGCGACGGTATGGACTACGCAGCGGTATATAGTACAATAATTTACCAGAATTCAAGAAGGCCCAGCATTGCCGACCAGGTAACCACTGAGGAAACGGGGTTCGAGGTCGTGAATGCGTCAGTGCCGGGTATAGCGCGGGGAGGTAGCGGTGTTGAAGACAAGGCGGCCCTTACGCAATCTAGCATGTAGGTAGGTACTGTAAAAGAGAGTGGTGCGCCGCCGTGCGTGATGCGTGATGGAGGCGAGAGAGGGGCGGGGCACGGGAAAGAGAGGGAATGATATACGGGAAAGACAACGTTGGAGCTCGGGCGGTCGGACCAATGGCAGAAATGCAACAAATGGCAGCAATGGCAGAAAAGAAGGTGATGCTCCAAAGTTGCGTAGGACTTATGGGAAAACAGGCAGGCCTTTGGTCCTTCGGGTCCTTTGGGTTTGGGGTGGGAGGCAAACAGCAGCAGGCGTAGGCCCGGATTTGGGAGGCTTTCCCTAGGTACAGTACCTGCCCACTACACCCACGCGTTGTAGGTAGGTAGGTATGTACTGTACCTGGGTACTTACTTAACCTACCTACAGTACAGTACCGTACAGTACCTACTAGGTTCGTGGCCCACACCATGGTTGCCTTGTCCCACGTTCTTAAAAGATGGGGGAAAGAAAGGTAAGGCTCGACTCATTGGAAAGCCCAAGGGTTCAGCTCACCCCACTTTCTCTCTTTTGGGATGGCATCTGCAAGACCAAACATCCCCTCATGCACTTTGAGCGCCCCAGATTACTTAGATACATCCCTA